GCGGAATCCCAGGCCTGCTTCACGTGCACGGACCAGAAAGTCGGCTCCATCGCTCTTGCAGCACCTACAGCAGGAGGTCAGCAGCCTGTGCACAGTGCCGCCTGCAGATTCTTCTGCAGGCTCAGGTCCTGGGTATTTGTAGTCTTCCAGGGGGGCGGGGTCCGATGAATTCCTGCACAAGTCCGCCTGCAAACGTCCATTGCCCAAAGCAGTCCTCCGACTTCGCCTCGGAGGTCGAATCACGGAGACTCTCTCTCTAAAAGCGAGCCCAGAATCCCCAAAGCACTGGAATCGCAATCGTCCTATGGTTTACTCAAGTGTCCGGTGTAAGCTGCCTGGTACTCGAAGGTGGAGCTGCAGGCTGGCATCCAAATCATTTCTGTTTCTGCCTCCCACTTCTTCATTGGCTGGGCCCACCCACCACCGTGGACCTGAGGGCCCGCCGACTTACCACGGACTGGCACAGATCTCGAGCCCGGTCACAACTTTGTTTTGTGTGAGTGAGAATCCGTCAGACAGGTCTGTGGTGCCCGTCTTTTTGCCCGTGGTACTAGCGCTCGCCTGGTCCGTATGTGCACCAGGAACGGAGAAAAACTGGGAGACTGAGAACGCCATCAGAGACACTGCCTCACTCGAGCCCTTGAACATGCTGTTCCCGAAAAACGTTGACTAAAGGAAAGGAACACAGCAAGTATTCCGTCGTCCATACACCGAATTCGTCTTCTTTCAGAAAGCCGGGTTCAGATGTCTTGGGACACTTGCCGTCGGGAAAACTTGCATTTCGACCTTATCGGTATGAAATCCGAAATGACAGAAATCGGGCGAATTTCCAGCGCTTATAAACGACGGCAAGCAGAACGAAGAGGACCCGAAAACGAATTAAAACCAAGGCGTCCTAACCGCAACTGGGAGTGAAATGCACCTGAGGGGCAGCAGCATAACCACGGACTGGCGCAAACTCTCAAGATGGGTAACAACCCCGGAGTGTGAGAGTGAGTAGCCTTGGAGGTCCGGTGTCTTGCCAGCGGTACAAAAGCCACAGCTCCCCTGCAAACCGGGAAAAGAAGGCCAGAGGGCCAAGGCCACAGGAGATCGTGCAGCACTTGAGACCTGGTCAGATGAACGACAGGAAGTCATCGGAGGAGGTGATACCGTCGTGAAAACACCGACCTTTCCGTCATCCAGTCGGTCGGGCACGCATGTCTTGGGACACTTATCCGGAGAAAACGTGCCTTGGCCATTGGCAGTCGGCACTGAATCTGCTAACGTAACAAATTCCACGTTTCTTCGTTTAGAAACAAGGGCGAGTAGAGCTTCGAGGACGCGAAAACGAACCGAAACCTCAGCGTCCTGACCGCGTCGGGTGCGCACTCGCCCTGGGGCGCCAGACGTTTCTTTCAGCGTTTCTCTAGCGCCACGGTGTTCGTGGTTCAGGTGGAATGTCGCCAAGTCCTGCCTGGCCGAGCCGGATTCCGTCTGCAACACGAAAGGATCGAGGCTGAAAATCACGGACGCGGTTTGAGATCGGACTGCAGCCCGGCCTGCTGACCGTCGTCAGTAGGAAGGAAGTCCGCTCTCTGGACGAAT